TTCCACAGTTTATGGCTTTGTTTGATGAAAAAAGTCAAAGTTAAAATGTATTTGATTCTTAAACGTTTTACATCGCATTGTAACTCTTTAGTATATCGTTGATAGGAGCATGTCTTACAACAGTTATAGCTCATGTGCAGAGCAACTACACACTTGTGCAAGTATATGTTAATACTTAGGTCCTTACAGAGCTACAATAGATGACTCTAAATCAAGTTCCTTACACACGTTGTATAAAAAAATCGTATTCACTCCGAGAATATATCTGGAGGGGATAAAATGACTTGCACCAGTGTCCATGGTGCCGATTGAGTGAAACACAGGGGACCACCAGGGCATCAAAAGAACATAGTTTGTAGATATTTCTAAATATCTAACAAAAATAAGCATTTAATGGTGATACATAAAGCGTAAAACAGATCGTGAATTTAATTATTAGTAAATACCTTTTTATCCCATGCCAATCAGTGCTTGCTGTCATTACAGTCACTAAAAGTTTGACAAACTCAAGCAAGGACTGTGCGTTGTGTCTGCTTAACCATATGTATGAAAAAAAAAACAAAAAACAAAAAAAAACAGTTTCGAAAGAGATTCGAACCACCGTCCTCTTGTACACTGGTTGACACGTTGAGACCCTTACCCACTCTACTACTAATAGGCCTGGTAATAGAAATGTGATTACTACATATTATGGTACAGTTCGTCACTTATTTTCAATGTAAATTTTTGTTTATTTTGTATTTATTTATTGAGTTTTATTTTACATTGAATAAATAAATTATTTGATAAAAAATATTTTTTTGGAACATGTATTTTTAAAAAATTTGGAAATAAGTATAAATATTAGCAGAGCAGATTTTATATGTATTAATAAGCATTCATTGATTTATTATTCATTTTTTACTTGTAAAATAAATAAATTATTGTTTACACATTTTCACACTTTTTTAGAATTTCAAATTTAAAAAAAAAATTTCCGTACTGTATAAATACAATAATTAATTTTTATTCGATTTTTTTCTTTCATAACTTTTTCTTTGTAATTGAGAACAAAATTTAGAGAGGTGGAAGGAGCGAAAATATATGTAGCAACGCTGGAAAATATTTTTCTCATATGGATAAGCTTACATGAACGCTTTGACGTATTCTTGACCCCTTCTTTTTTAAGGTACTAAAAAAAAAAGAAATTATAAATCCATTTGAAAATTAAACTGGTTCATCTAAAAGTAATCGTTCATACAAACAAACATTGGGGGTATAATACAGCTCTTATAAATACGATTGTAAGTGATTTTTCCACAAGGTTACACGTTAAACTGCCAATTTTTAAAATTATATGTGAGAAAGAGGGTACGGTTGAACGATCTGCAATTTATTTTGGGAACTTCTAGAAATATTTTTAGAATATATTTGATACTTTAATAATATCTGTTATAAAAACCAATTTACAATGAACGTCCTGAAGCAACATTTACTGGCATGTACTACTATGCTATCGAAGAAAGTGCTAAAACAGGATGGTTTGTCTTAATTTTTAAGATACAACTATATTTTGAATATTAAATATGGACTAGAAATAAGTGTGTCAACGTATTTGATAAATGTGAGCGTGACGTTACAGATGTAATCAGCGTAGGCAGTAAGCACTTGTTTTGAAATCATTGGAAGTTTCGATGAAAGTGCACAGTCTTGTACTGGCCAGCCTTCATATTGTTTGTATTGTATTGTGCAATTATGTATGTATTCTATATAATTGCTCAGTTATTAAATATTAAAATATTTACTAAAACCACACCCAGCTAACTTAGATATACTTTTCTCAACGATAATCGCACCGACTTTGTACACAGTACTGTTTCATGATAGATATATTTCTATTTATAATTATTATCTAGATATATTATTTGCCATATAATTTTGTATAATTATAACTTCTTACTTGGGTACCTAAGCACCCACTGTGCTCTGGTTTTTCTAGTCCAGGGGCTTTTTTTAGCTTGAATAAGAACTATAAGTATGTTTTTTGCATCACGATGTTGATTACTTTTCTGTTCTGACACAAACACAAAAACATTTTGTGACAGCTTACTCTAAGATTGAATCAAAATTATAGTTCAATGTATTTACAGCGCAGAAAAATTTTTTTTATACAATCATAAAAAATATCAGTTTTCAATTATTTTCATCTAAAAGTTAAAATAATAGATTATTAATTAGTTAAAAGTTATGCATGTAAGAGCACAGTCTTTATTTGGGATCTTAAAATACAGTTTTTGTCCAGACTAAGACAACAGGTGAAGCTTTCACCTGGGCTTAAGGAAAAGGTATGGTCTTTCTCCAGGCTTTGAAGCAGAGCATAGTTCTCGTCTAGGTCATCAATACATAATCACATAGCTGATCCCGCAATCCATAACATAGATATCTCAATCTGAATGAGCATGCAAAGTGTTTTGACTCAAAGTTTTCTAATAATGATTTAAACTATTTTAGGAATGGTATAGAAAACTGACAGAAGTAACTTAGTTTTTAGTACTTAAATGTGCAAGTTAATTAAATTGGTGAGTACAAAAAAATAACCCCTGAAAAGACTTGGTGGTGTGATTTGCTCATAACTAGATTTTTACGTATAGAAACGTAGTTGTGTACAGTACATAGAGACTGTGAATAATTTGAAAATTTAGTTTAAAACTTTTGATGCCAACTATTTTTGGGAAATATTTTATACAATCTCTTGTAAAAACGGTATGGCACGCAAAATTTTTAGAGTATTAAAGATTGTTGTTTTCAAAGAAGCAGAGATAATTTTGAGTTCAATTAAGCATTCAAAGATAAAAACCTGAGAAAATTGTAGTGTCATAAATAAAAACTGATCAAAACGAAGAAAAAAAGTATTAAGTATTTAGAGTGCAAGGACTTTGAAATGACCAATAACTAACCTAGCAAACACTTTTTTATGACTCCTTGCAAGCTTTTTATGTCCAATGCGTTGTATACATGTAAATGTGAGTTTTAACCTAGATTTTTACTTGTTTTTTTATTTATAAGTACTTTCATTTCCACTAAATGGTTAATTAAAGAACAATAATGTGATCCTTGTATATATATTCGTCTCATAAAACAATATGACTTTAATCTTGACGTTATTTATTGAGATATCAACAGATAAAGAGGCAAAAAACTCGTGCACCCATTAGATACCATGGTAAATTGAAAGATACATTTTTATTAATAACTCGCTTTCAAAGCTGTGAACAGTCTTGAAATTTTCACTCAAGCTTTGTCTTACCATAGTTTACCTACATTTTGAATAACATAAGAATCTTGAAGTTATTACACATAAAGGAAATACTCCCTTAAACAGTCGATACCATACAGTAATCGTAATCGTAGAATCAGTAGAATTTTGTAAGGAAGTGGATAGTCTGCACTAGCAGAATTTTCATGAAAGTAAAAAATTACTGACACCATACTAGAACGTCAAATAACACCATCAGCGTAACAAAAAAAAAGTGTATTTATTCTTTAATGCTGTATTTATTCTTCTCTGGTACGTTTTGAAAAAAATTTAAATATAAATACAAGCACAAGCTAGGACAAGATTTTTGATAATTTTTAACGTTTTTGCTTTAATTTTAGGTTCAATTTGAATTTATATACCTTAAGCTGTAAAATCTGGTTTTTGTGGAGAATGTGTATCCACTATTTTTACACATTCAAAATAATGATAAAAATCAAAATTATCTACAAATTATATAAAAAGTTTCTACCAACTTACTGGTAGCAAATTTTCTCATTAACATTTCTTAATTTGCTCCAAGGGTTGGCGTGCTGGGGATAAAGAGTGCTTCGCATGGTGGCAGACAATTTTGAAAAGTGAGGACGCCTAATGCTTGTTGGGATGGATACTTTTTCGAAAAATGCCTTATTACGCTTATTGTTGCGTTGTTACATGTAAAAATTCGGGGTGAAGTAGCACAGTTAGGTTCTATGATTTTCCCCGTTAAAAAAAAGTGTTTAAAGTCGGCCAAGGTGTATGAATGATGTATGAAGGAACAAATGAACCCCACTTTTGTATCTGTGAAAGGAATTAGTTCTCGATATAGATATACTAATAACATAAAAACGTCCACAGAGTTCTCAATCCCCGTCATACCCGAGTACATTTATTGTAACTTTCTTGTATTTAAAGTATGATTTTTGTGATAAAAACTTCTAGATATTAAGTAAAACTTATAATTACATGTTTATGTGAGACACAGTTAAGTTTTTGCCACTAAAAATATACATACATACAATTTCTGATACATCTCTGTACATTACAATGCTTAAGCGTCCTCACTTTTTGAAGGGGGGTACTACGTGACCTATCTACATCTGTTAAACCTCGGAGCGAATACTACTTAACAAATTTGGTTTCAGTGAAGTAAACATTTAATAATTTAATAAATTTTGTCATTTAGTTAGATCGTTTTGTTTGATAATTATTAGGAATCTTNTATAATTAATTACATTTTAATATGAAACACAGTTAAGTTTTTGCCAATAAAAATATACATACATACAATTTTTGTCAAATTTCTGTATATTACAATGCTAAAGCGTCATCACTGTTTGAAAGGGGGGTACCACGTGTCCCATCTATATCTGTTAACCCTTGGAGCGAATAACTGTATTTTTTAATGATCCATCAAGTTGATAGGTACTTCATAAATATTTTATGTTTTCTAGTTTTAATTGACTCGTGTTCATTGTAAAAATTTATTGAATCAACCTCAAATTACCTCATTTATTATGAGATAACAGCAAATAAAAAAAACTATCTACATTGAATTTAATTTATCAAGTTAAAAAAGGCTTAGACGTATGTGTAACAAATTATCTACAGACAAAACTAATAACACACTTATAAAATCTTAGGATAAAAGTAATTCGTCTACTTATTTACCGTAAATGTTCAATATGTCTACATAAATCAATAGTAAAGTATATAAAAGACTGACCGTTATTACACATGGAAATTCCACGATCCATGGCATAGCTGATGAAGGCCATAATGATGCCAAGTAGCGCAAGGAAGACCCAGTCTTCCCCAAGGCGAGCACCAGTGTGCTTCCAGGCAAAGGCCAATAGGGTGATAAGCTTACGGGTAAACGGACCTTGTCTTGATTTGCTGAATTTCTGAGCGCGTACCTTGTCGAAATTGTTGCGCAGAAGCTTGTCATTGCGCAGCCGGCGTGCCTCCTCCTTTGCATACTCGCCAAGATCCTTCGTGTACCGGCCATACATCTGTGGCGAGACACATACATGCATACAACTTTTACATATATTGCTCAATGGTCGTGCGTATCGGCTACTTATGGTCATACTTGGCGATTTTCATGCTCGTGGTTAATATTAGGTTCGTACAAGATTTGTGCCGTTGGGTGCTGGCCCTGATCCTGGCATCAGCGCTTGGAAGACAAAGATGGGTTATTTTACCAGGAAAATTGATGGGTTTTTAAAACTTTTTCAGTTGAAAAAAACTTGCGTATCTAATTGTTGAATGTGCATTATGATTGTGACCCATGCAAGTGAAGCCCTGGTATACGACATCGCGATCATTTCTTTATTAGACGGACTATGAAAAGCAAGTTATAAGAGCGATGAGCATTGGCTTTTAGTTATTAATAATAATAAATTTTAGTAATAATAATAAACGTATGAATAATCAGATCATTGGCATACTTGCTTGTCCTTGTCTACTGCTTCAAGCCGCTTACTCGTATGAAGCAAAAGCATTGTAGTCACGATTTGAAAAAATCAACGGTCGTTTAGTTTATATTATAATGAGCTTTCACGTTTATGTCGAAGATACGATAATATAATGTATAAAAGGCTAACCTATCACGGTACAAAAAAGGAAAAACCAATAGGGATTACGAGGTCAGCTTATTTTCTTTGAAAAACGAGATAACACAGCAAACATTTTGTGTGAAGATTTCTTATAGATATCAACATATCACAATATCCTCTAATGTCAACCTGAAAGATATCATTAAAGGCAAAAGTTTTCAGATGGGCATAAGATATCTACAAGATGTCTATACGAAATTTTCAGATAAAACGTTTGCTGGAAAAGCACTAAGTTGGAGAGTGTTATCAAAATGAAACATCGAAACTGTTTTACTTAATAGATGTTGTTGCTGTCGAAAAACGCATGTGATAATAGTATAAAGTGGCTTATCAAATTATAAACTACATTGTTTTTTAATGACAGTTGGTCATTAGAAAAAAAATTCAATGTACGAGCTGTAGACATGTCTTTTCTATATTAGTTGGTGATAATTTGACAAGTTTATGTAATACAAAAAGAAAAAAAGGCACATTTAAGTAAGTCTTGTGATAGCCTTGTTTACCTGATCCTCAAGTAATCATTTGATGAAAATTTTACTAATTCCAAAGTTATGGAGAACGATTATAACTCTTGTGTTAGAAAAGCTACAACCTTGGATTCAAACAGAATTATTTGAATCATGCAAGAATAAAGGAAACTTTTGTTCCAATCAAAACAGAAAAGTATCAAATTTTCCAGATTCTTGTATGGGATTACGTTGATCTAAATAAGATCAATAAGAACATTGCTATTTTACTTAAGAAAGTGACTAGGTAAGAAAGAAGTAGGTACTTCCCGAGCATCTGAACACGTTATTGCCATCATTGCCCCCTCCTCACATATATACATTTAAGATAGTAAATAACTGTTTACATAGATGCTTCTTCAAAATTTTAACTATAATGTAGGTTTATGGAACCAACCAACTATTTTGATAACTAAGTAGTAATGTATTTAAATATGAGATTCTAAGGTAAGCAGCAGCGATAAAAGGCTACTCAACTATGCTCTTGAGGCAGCTGATCGCCCACTTTAGGTGAACAGCTCATCCAACTTAGGTGAGCAAAAGCACCAACCACTTAGGGGTGCTATTCATAGTAAAGCTGCAAAGTTGGTCCACCTAATTTCATTTTAGCGTAGGTGCTATTATCTTGACGATAGCGCTATAACTAAAAGGTTTAAAAAATGTTTGAATTCAAAAATTTCAATTTTAAATTGACGAAAAAAATTTTTTTTCTATGACTATCTAAATATACTTTAACATCTTAGCTTTTATGTTCCCATCTAAAAAAATTAAATCTGGTGAGTTATGTCATCAGTTTATAATATGTAATACAACTATCACATATACTTTGATTCACCGTACATCATGTTTCTTGGTACTTAGTAGTCATAAAACAATAAAGCACCTTATATCATTGGCACAATCCAGTAATCAGCTACATTGAACGTCTACCTATTATATTTTAATCACGTGATAAAATTACCTCAAATGTCGGTAATTTTTCGTTAAATTCAGACTAGCACGAAAAAAGTATATTATAAAGAATAAAACAATGCCAATCAATTGTAATTAAATCAAACAAAAAATGTTTTTCGCTAAGACCTCAAAAAAAAAATGGCAAAAATGTTAAGACACGGTTTTTAGCGTCGGAAGCACATGCCAAGCTTAAAAAAAAATTTAAAAAATATAGAAGTATGCGTAGCAAAAAAATAAACAAAATAAGTTCTAGTCAATCTTAATGGGTCCAGTGGTTTCCCTGCAAAATGCAAGAAACCTCGTTTTTTGAGCCAATATTCAAAAATGAATAACTCTCTTTTGCATAAACATTAAAAGCTGAAATTTATCAGAGCTGTAGCTTTAGTTATTTTCAAAAAACACATCAAATTTTAGCAAGATCCGATGAATGATTTTTGCAAACTGCAGCTAAATTAAAAAAACGGTACTGTAGCAAAATTGCTTCAAAAAAGGTGTTTACAACATTAGATGCAATTTTTTGCGGAATTATATTCTTTAATACTTACTCTACAATTTACCAAAGTATCAATTTTTTTTGAAGTATGGAAGTTGCTAATTTGTCTCTAAGATATCATTATTTTTGAGAGCGTTTGAACGTAGTTGCTCGGTGACACCAGAACCGAGCTACAGGAAATGGACGTGGCCTATGTATTGGCGGATACGGCGCGGCAGCTCATTGCTCTTCACACGCCCTACTGTCGTATTAAGAAAAAATGCCCATGTGGTTTATCATTTTGTAAGCAACTTCCACACTGCAAAAAAATTTGATTCTTTGTAAGTAGAAAAGTAGGTATTAAAGAATATGATTTCGTAAAAAGATTGCATCTCGGGTCATAAGCAACTTTTTTTTTTTAGGATATTTTGCCAAAGTACTTTTTTTGCATTTAACAGCGGTTTGCAAAAACTATTTATCTGATCTTGCTAAAATTCAGTGTGATTATTGAAGATAACTGCTAAGTATATTGTTAATCTATACCAACGTGTACATATACAAGTATATGTATGAGTGTAAACTAAGGGTCCCATCTCTGCCAAATTTCAAATGCATGATGTATGCGGACGCATCTGTTCGTCGAAACATGCGTTTCAGTTTTGAAATGTAAGAGACTCTGTGCAGGTAATCACAGATAAAAAAAAGTGTCAATCTTACACTGAGAAGTTTACGAGAAGTTTTTGTAAATGTGATCAAAAACATACTGGTGTTAAAAGAGTATATTTCCGAGGAGAGAGAAGAATCGAAAAATATATAAGAATTAAGAGAGGAAATCAGCAACTCCAAAATGGTGGAAATTTTGATACCTGTGTTTGATGACCAAGATTATGCACACTCGAAAAAAAAAATGTTTTCAAAGTTAAAAAAATGTGCAATGGTGATAGAAAGAGAAAAAATATCGACGGACAAAGAAGACAAATGGACCGAGAACGACTTAAAGGTCGTAAATTATGTTTACAGTGCTATTTCGAATAAGCAGCTGGAATTTGTCAGTAATTTGGACACGGCATTCAAGACTATAAAAAGTTTGATGTTATGTATTCAAAAGAATTAACAGCTTTGCAGATAATATGCTGGAATAAGCTGGAGAAAATCTGGTTGAAGTATTTTTAAAAACTATCAGTTTTTATTAGTCAATTTGAAGAATCAGTAAACAAGTTGAAAGCAGCTGGTGCTACAGTAAATAAAAAAGAAAAGTTGAATTATTTATTAAGAAAATTGTTAAAATCGTATAGTTACATGAGTAATTTATAAGACACGTTAAAATCGGAAGATCAAACAGCTAGCTATGTGATTAATAAAATTACAATGTTAAAAATCAAAAACAAAAGTAAAAGAACTTACACAAGGATAAAATCGAATGCTTTTGTGTCGAAATCAAACGGTCACGAGAATTAAGAAATAGCCTGTTACGGCTGTGACGAAATTCGAAATTTCAAGAAAGATTGCCCGAAAGTAAACAATGCTGGCTATGGTAGTCGAGCACAAAGGGGCAGACGCCAACAATACCATGAAAACGGTGCACATCAAGAAGCAGAGGTAGAGGCAGAGGCTTGAGCGTACAATGAGGTAGAGGCCACGTGTCACAACATGATACTTGAAAACAAGGCAACGGCTCACTTGCGTTTTCTGTGAAGATCGTTGAGTCTACTGCGATGCATAGCAAAATGCAACGTAAACGTATGGACTAGGTTTTAGATAGTGATTATACTAATACTGTGGTAAATCGAGATGATGTTTTTATAAATTTTATGGAATGAAAAAATTCAGTAAACGTAAACATTGGAGACGGTAGAAGTTTGAAAGCGACTAAAATAGGAAAGGTTTTGAGTTAATTTAAAGTGTACGATAAATTAGTAAGAATATAAATGTCTTATATATACTATGTTACGGTAATTAAAGAAAATTTATTAAGTTTATTAAAAGTAACGACTACAAATAAAGTTGTTGCTTAAAAAAATATTGTAAAAATAGGTAAATTGTACAAAGTGCAAAGTGAGAATCAAAATGATTAGAAGATTAACGTTAATACTATAAATACCAAAAATGATGATAAAATTACTGGAAAAATGACATCGTATTTTAGGGCATCTCAATTTTAAATATTCGAATGTTTTATGTGAAAGTGAATTAACAGAAGGTCTGCCAAAAGAAATTGAGAGTGATTTTATGAAATGCGCTATTTGTTTTGAAAATAACATGCACAATTTACCATTAAAAAATAATAGACAAAAGCCCAAGGAAATTTTAGAACTAGTACATACTGATCTGAATGGGCCTTACAATACTACTGGATTGAATGAGGAAAAATATTTTTTAACTTTTATTGATGACTGTAGTAAAATAGCCAGAGTATATCCAATGAAATCGAAAAATCAAGTCTGTTATTGTTTTGTTTTATA